CAGTATACAGTAGTATGCACTCGATCCTTGTTCGGGGCTCCTTACTGCCTCAATGCGGCGTGGCATGGAGGTGATCAGCCCGTGGCACTGCTGAGGTGTTATGGAAGCCCAGGTTGCTTTGATAGCGGCCTTCAGCTCCTCTCCATTGTTGGCTCTGGTGTCTCTCATCTTCCTGTCGACAATACCGCCCCTATGGGGATTAGATCAGGTGAGTGTGCTGGCCAATCAAGCACTGTGATACCATGATCATTAACACCTCGGTCACATCAAGCCCGACTTTGAAACTGTGCAACATACGGGGACGTGCATTCTGACACTGCGGGGGAACTGACTTGGTGTCACTGACATCCCCAGTGACACCAATATAGTGATCAGTGCTAATAAAAAGCACTGACGCTGTACTAATGGCACTGGGCAGGAAGGGGTTAACATGAGGGGTGATGAAAGGGTTAACTGTGTGCCGTTTTACTGTAAGCTGTGTGTGTATTTTCAACTGTAAGCACACAGATTTGTATGGCTCTGCTGCATCCCCCTCCCCGGGATGTATGGTATTATTTGGCCTAAGCCAGAAACTAGGAAGTAACCAAAGAAATGTAAAAAAATGTTTAGAACAAGTAAATCTAATCTCCCTTCCTATCTGTTTACTAATACTAGCAGCTAAATGGTTAGCACTTCCGCCTGGCAGTACTGGGGTCGTCAGGTCGAATCCCATCCACGGCACCACCTGACTGGAGTTTGCATGTTCTCCCTGTGCCTGCGTGCAGCGGTGTATTTACCGTGAGGCAATTTGGTGGTGGTGTCATTTACTGGGGGAATGGAGAGAGAGAGGGAAAAAAATATATATATTCTGCGTTCAGAAGAGGAGCATTTAACTGCCCCCAAACTCGGATAAACGCTTACGTGTACATGGACTCAGAGGCTTTCGCTGACTTGAGTTTAGGGGCTTTGGCCAAAAAAAAATTTCCAAAAGCTTCGAAAGTCACATTTAGGCCCCATGTACACGGGACACTTCTGAATGATGGAAACTGCTGGAAACATAGGTTAAAAAACGTCTGTTTAGCCGCGTTTACATACCACGTTTATGCGAACGTTTGCGTTTAGAAGCGTTTTTTAAAGATAAGCACAGGAGAACCTCCCAAATGCCCAGAATGCACTGAAAAGTGGTAAATTATTAACTATTTCAGACTGTTTCAGAAAAATACAGAGAGTAGAAGCAGAGACAGCAGTATGTGTTGAGATTAGCTAAGGTGTGAGTTGCTCATTAACATTTCTTTTGTTTCCAAGGGAAAGGTGTCTGGTGGATGGAGTCATTAAGGCCATCTGGCAGGGGGGTCTTCATCAGGAATTTGAGGTGTGAAGGAACATATATTTTGTTTCCATGGGTGGGGGAGGTGAGGTGTGAATTGGTCATTGACATATCTTTTGTTTCCAAGGGTGGGAGAGGTCTGAGGTGTGACTGGGTCATTAACATATCTTTTGTTTCCAAGGGTGGGGGAGGTCTGAGGTGTGAATTGGTCATTAGCATATCTTTTGTTTCCAAGGGTGGGAGAGGTCTGATGTGTGAATGGTCATTAACATATCTTTTGTTTCCATGGGTGGGAGAGGTCTGAGGTGTGAATTGGTCATTAACATATCTTTTGTTTCCAAGGGTGGGGGAGGCCTCAGGTGTGAATTGGTCATTAACATATCTTTTGTTTCCAAGGGTGGGAGAGGTCTGAGGTGTAAATTGGTCATTAACATATCTTTTGTTTCCAAGGGTGGGAGAGGTCTGAGGTGTGAATGGTCATTGACATATCTTTTGTTTCCAAGGGTGGGAGAGGTCTGAGGTGTGAATGGTCATTAACATATATTTTGTTTCCAAGGGTGGGAGAGGTCTGAGGTGTGAATGGACATTAACATATCTTTTGTTTCCAAGGGTGGGAGAGGTCTGAGGTGTGTAAATTGGTCATTACATGGTGTGACAAGCTTGGTAGGAACATCCTGTGTTCAGTGCTTTGTCCATTTGAGTACCTTGAAAATGCTTTGCATGCATTTTTCATGATGAAAAAAGGCTCTGGACAGCATCAGGAACTAGAAGCTTTAAAAAAAAAATTGCAAAAGCTTATAAACGATTTGCCGCGTTTAGCCGCGTTTTGCGTTTGAAATGCTGATAAAATTGACTGCTGAACGCAAGTTTCCTGCATTCAAAAAAATGACTGTAAACTCAAATGCCTGTAAATGACTGTAAATGAAGATGTGTACACGGACACATAGGAGAATATTAGGGGGAGTTCAGGGGCTGCTGAAAAAATGCTGAACATCTCCTAAACGTGAGTTTATCATCTGCAGCGTACATGGGCCCTTAGGAGCAGCATGTACATGGGCCCTTAGGAGCAGCAGTGTACATGGGCCCTTAGGAGCAGCAGTGTACGTGAGGCTTTTCTCTTTTACAAAAATGTGTTTGTTGCTGTTTTTTGTCCCCATTGGAGAAAATGATTCCTCCCTTCCTTTCTTGGTGAGATAGCGAAGGAAAATCTCCCCCATGGGGAGGCACTCTTTGGTGGTGGGGTACATCATTGGATCTTTTTATTTTTATTTTTCACGTTTGGGTTTTGCATTTTGTGGTGGATGGTGGGGTTTACTGGGACAGGGAGGTTGATGAGGATTTGGCACCCTACAAATAATTTTTAACCAAAGTAGTACCCTCCTTGTTAGCTAGAGGGAGCGAACTAATTATTTTTTAGTTAGAAGGCTGAGGTGATAGTTGAGAGATCAAATTTGGGTCAGGGCTGAAAGGCTCTGCAGGTCATCTCTCTGATACCTCCCCTTGATCTAGAGACTTGGAGAAGGTACTAGAACTCAGTGGGCGGGGGCGAGGAGTTGCTGGTCTGCACTCTTGAGGGATCTTGGCCAATCCCCAGGCAGGAGGCTTGGCATGGGGTCAGGACACACCTTAAGAGTGACTGAGCCTTCTCAGAAGCAGGAGAGTTCAGGTGGAAGATGTAGAGGAGGCTGAGATGCAGGAACCTGAGAGGGGGCTCAGTGAGAAGAGGCCTACCTACAAGCAGAGGAGCTGGAAAGGAGGATCACTGCACCTCAGGAGTCCCCTGAGAGAGGCCCACCTGTACAGCAGGGAAGGAGCCAGCCCAGTGGAAGGCCTGAAGGCAGCCACCAACCCAACCGGCTCGCAGGAGAGGAAGAATGAGTACGTCTACACCCCCTGGGCCAGTCAAGGGGAAAGGAGCATTCTGGTGGGAAACTAGCTCTTTACCCAGGATTGTTCCTACTTAAAGTTGCCACTGGATCCCCTTCCCCAGGGATTTCCCTCAGATATCTGGACTAGAAGAGGATTCATCTGGGGTCTGGGAGAGGCTGGAGAGCTCTTCAAGAAAGAACTTTTGCTGTGTAAAGACTTGTACATGGTTGCCAGGATGGGGTGTATGGGCATCGCATACACCCCTTACCCCATCTAAGTTCAACACCCCTAAAAAAACCTAAAAAACCAAGAAAGGCAAGTCTGAGAAAATGCGTGCTGCCTGGCTGTACAGGACTAAAGGGTGACCCAAATCTTCAGCTACTCCTAGGGGGGTAGTGCTACAGTACCAGTATTCTGGATATATTTGTTACAACATTTTCTTATATATATCAGGGGCTGACTGACCATTTGGAAACTCGGGCACTGCCCGAGGGCCCGGGGTCAGTAGGGGGCCCCATGAGATGTCCCTGGTACCTTTTTCATAGGCTTTTTTGAGTTTGGGCAAGGACACAGGGGCCCCATGATCCTCTATTGCCCGGGGGCCCCATGAGTTGTCAGTCCGCCCCTGATATATAGCTTTAATAAATGTATTATTCAGTTGTAGTGTTGCCACCTTTTCTTTAAGCCAAAGCCCAACTATTTTTTTTCTTGTAGTATAAATAGATGTAAAACCTGTATAACCTTTTTTTAAAAATTGTGCTGAACCAAAACGTGTGATACTTTGTTACCCCAATTTTGGGCACATTCCTGCAACACAAAAATGTCCTCCTGGGGTCGGGGTAACACCTTAAAATTCAAGGAGGTTCTGTCGCCAACATTTTCTTCCAGCCGAGGTGAGAATTGCTCTCTAAAATGACATAAAAGTAGACCAATCACATCCATATTTCAAGTGAAAGAAAATAAAACCACCTTACATCACGTGCCCCCATCAGATTCCCCGCTTGCCCCCCTTACATCACGTGCCCCCATCAGATTCCCCGCTTGCCCCCCCTTACATCAGGTGCCCCCATCAGATTCCCCGCTTGCCCCCCCTTACATCAGGTGCCCCCATCAGATTCCCCGCTTGCCCCCCCTTACATCACGTGCCCCCATCAGATTCCCCGCTTGCCCCCCCCCTTACATCAGGTGCCCCCATCAGATTCCCCGCTTGCCCCCCCCCTTACATCAGGTGCCCCCATCAGATTCCCCGCTTGCCCCCCCCCCCCTTACATCAGGTGCCCCCATCAGATTCCCCGCTTGCCCCCCCTTACATCATGTGCCCCCATCAGATTCCCCGCTTGCCCCCCCCTTACATCACGTGCCCCCATCAGATTCCCCACTTACCCCCCCTTATATTAGGTGCCCCCATCAGATACCCCGCTTGCCCCCCCTTACATCAGGTGCCCCCATCAGAGTCCCTGCTTACCCCCCCTTACATCAGGTGCCCCCATCAGAGTCCCCGCTTACCCCCCCCCCTTATATCAGGTGCCCCCATCAGAGTCCCCGCTTACCCCCCCCCTTACATCAGATGCCCCCATCAGATTCCCCGCTTGCCCCCTCTTACATCAGATGCCCCCATCAGAGTCCCCGCTTGCCCCCTCTTACATCAGATGCCCCCATCAGAGTCCCTGCTTACCCCCCCTTACATCAGGTGCCCCCTCAGAGTCCCCGCTTACCCCCCCTTACATAATGTGTCTCCATCAGAGTCATCCTTACATCCAGTGTCCCATTCAGAGCCCCCCCCTTACATCTGGTTTCTCCATTAGAGTCCCCCCCCTTACAGCTCGTGTCCCCATCAGAGTGCTCCCTTACATCAGGTATCCCCATCAGAACCCCCTTTACCCCCCCTTATATCAGGTGTCCCCATCAGAGTCGTCCTTACATCCAGTGTCCCATTCAGAGCCCCCCCTCCCTTACATCTGGTGTCCCCATTAGAGTCATCCTTACATCCAGTGTCCCATTCAAAGCCCCCCTCCCTTACATCAGGTGTCCCAATTAGAGTCATCCTTACATCCAGTGTTCCATTCAGAGCCCCCCCCTTACATCAGGTGTCCCCATCAGAGTGCCCCCTTACATCAGGTGTCCCCATCAGAGTCCTCCTTTACATCAGGTGTCCCCATCAGAGCCCCCCTTACATCTGGTGTCCCCATCAGAGTCCCACCTTACATCAGGTGTCCCCATTAGAGTCCCACCTTACATCAGGTGTCCCCATTAGAGTCCCACCTTACATCAGGTGTCCCCATTAGAGTCCCACCTTACATCAGGTGTCCCCATTAGAGTCCCCCCTTTACATCAGGTGTCCCCATCAGAGTCCCCCCTTACATCAAGTGTCCCCATCAGAGTCCCCCCTTACATCAAGTGTCCCCATCAGAGTCCCCCATTACATATGGTGTCTCCATTAGATTCTCCCTCTTGCATATGGTGTCCCCAGCAGATTTTTTAGGAGATTGTCAGCTTCCCCAGCGGTCCCTCAGGTATGAGAAATACAGACGTACATTGTGCCAAGCTGGACCAATAGAACTGCCTATCCTACCTGGGGGGGCAGATTTCAAGGGGGAGAGGTCTCTCTGTCTTCAAGGGGGGGAGAGGTCTCTCTGTCTTCAAGGGGGGGAGAGGTCTCTCTGTCTTCAAGGGGGGGAGAGGTCTCTCTGTCTTCAAGGGGGAGAGGTCTCTCTGTCTTCAAGGGGGGGAGAGGTCTCTCTGTCTTCAAGGGGGGGAGAGGTCTCTCTGTCTTCAAGGGGGGAGAGGTCTCTCTGTCTTCAAGGGGGAGAGGTCTCTCTGTCTTCAAGGGGGGAGAGGTCTCTCTGTCTTCTAGGGGGAGAGGTCTCTCTGTCTTCAAGGGGGAGAGGTCTCTCTGTTTTCAAGGGGGAGAGGTCTCTCTGTCTTCAAGGGGGAGAGGTCTCTCTGTCTTCAAGGGGGGAGAGGTCTCTCTGTCTTCTAGGGGGAGAGGTCTCTCTGTCTTCAAGGGGGAGAGGTCTCTCTGTTTTCAAGGGGGAGAGGTCTCTCTGTCTTCAAGGGGGAGAGGTCTCTCTGTTTTCAAGGGGGAGAGGTCTCTCTGTCTTCAAGGGGGAGAGGTCTCTCTGTCTTCAAGGGGGAGAGGTCTCTCTGTCTTCAAGGGGGAGAGGTCTCTCTGTCTTCAAGGGTGGAGAGGTCTCTCTGTCTTCAAGGGGGAGAGGTCTCTCTGTCTTCAAGGGGGAGAGGTCTCTCTGTCTTCAAGGGGGAGAGGTCTCTCTGTCTTCAAGGGGGAGAGGTCTCTCTGTCTTCAAGGGTGGAGAGGTCTCTCTGTCTTCAAGGGGGAGAGGTCTCTCTGTCTTCAAGGGGGAGAGGTCTCTCTGTCTTCAAGGGGGAGAGGTCTCTCTGTCTTCAAGGGTGGAGAGGTCTCTCTGTCTTCAAGGGGGAGAGGTCTCTCTGTCTTCAAGGGGGGAGAGGTCTCTTTGTCTTCAAGGGGGGGAGAGGTCTCTCTGTCTTCAAGGGGGGGAGAGGTCTCTCTGTCTTCAAGGGGGAGAGGGTGTCTCTGTCTTTGGTGGTGAGGGACCCCCACACAGATGCATTGCTATGTCTGGACTGTGTGAATGTTCTCGGGGTTCAAGGTGTGAAGTTATCTTCCAGAGGAAAGGCAGATCCCTCTGATGGATGGAAATGTCAATACTCATCAGGGCTGATTTATTAGAAACCTGAATACAGAGTACTTAGCAAAGTGAGTATCCGGTGAGCCGAATTCATCCAATAATATGCAGCTCCGGCTTTTCTCCCACTTGATGAGCATTCAAAGTAATCATAGCTTCTCTTCTTTACTTTAGCAGATAATCCCTAATAATACAGGGTCTATTCAGGGGCGGACTGAGCTTTTGGAAACTCATGCACTGCCCGAGGGCCCGGGGTCAGTAGGGGGCCCCATGAGATGCCCCTGGTACCTTTTTCATAGGCTTTTTTGAGTTTGGGCAAGGACACAGGGGCCCCATGATCCCCTATTGCCCGGGGGCCCCATGAGTTGTCAGTCCACCCCTGGGTCTTTTGTTTCTTGGGGGGATATATTGTTTTCTATGGGGGTCTATTGTTGCTGGGGTGGGAGTTCTGTCATTGCTGGGAGGATAATTGTTGTTGGGGGTTCTATTGTTGCAGGGGATCTATTGTTGATGGTGATCTATTGTTGCTGGGGTGGGAGGTCTGTAGTTGCTGGGAGGATATATTGTTGCTGGGGATCTATTGTTGCTAGGGTGGGAGGTCTGTAGTTGCTGGGAGAATATATTGTTGCTGAGGGTCTATTGTTGCTGGAGGGGGGTTATTTGTTGCTGAGAGGGATCTACTGCTGAGGGAGGAGTCTATTGTTGCTGGCTGCTGAAGTTTCTATTGATGCTGGCTGCTGGGAGGTATTTTGTTGCTGGCAAGTGTCTATTGTTGCTGAGGTGTGTATTTTGTTGCAGGGGGGTCTATTGTTGCTGGGGTGGGAGTTCTGTTGTTGCTGGGAGGATATATTGTTGCTGGGGATCTATTGTTGCTGGGGTGAAGTTTCTATTGATGCTGGCTGCTGGGAGGTCTGTTGTTGCTGGTGAGTGTCTATTGTTGCTGAGGTGGATCTATTCTTGCTGAGGGATTTTTTTTTTGCGGGGGGGTCTATTGTTTCAGGGGGTCTATTGTTGCTGAGGATCTATTGTTGTTGGGGGGTCTGTTGTTGCTGGGGGAGTCTATTGTTGCTGGGGATTTATTGTTGCTGGGGGAGTCTATTGTTGTTGGGGATCTATTGTTGCTTCGGTGGGAAATCTGTTGTTGCTTGGAGGATATATTGTTGCTGAGGGTCTATTGTTGCTGGGGGGGGGTCTATTGTTGCTGGTAGTCTATAGTTGCTGGCTGCAGAGGATCTGCCCTTTGCATGGTGGGGATTTGAGGGGTTGTGCTAGAAGGGGGGATTTGGAGGGGGGGGGGGATTTGTACTAGGAGGGGGGATTTCTGTTAGGGGGAACTGGAGGGGATTTTTGCTAGTAGGAAAGATTGGGGGGATTTTTTTGCTAGAAGGGGAAATTTGGGGGCAGCATTAGTGCTCGGAGAGATTTGGGGGGCATTTGTGCTGTGAGAGGGGGATTTGGAGGGGATATATGCTCCCAACTGTCCCTGATTTCGAGGGACTGTCCCTGATTTGGAATGAAGTCCCTCTGTTGTCCTAAATTTCAAAAGAGGAATTTTGTTGCTAAAAAAAAATTTAACTAATCTTTTTAAAAAAAATAATTCTCCTTTAAGGGGGCGTGGCACATGGGTGTGTCCTATGTCTACATACTTTTGCTAATAGGTGTCCCTCAAAAAGTTGGGAGGTATGTCAGAGGGGAGGTTTGAGGGGTAGAGGACTTGTGGGGGGGGGAAGGCAGGGGAGGGAGAGGATTTGAGCTGGGGGGGAGGGGATTTGTACAGGAAGAGGGGAAACTTCTATTTGGGGAGAATTGGGCTTGCAGATAGATTTAATTTGTTCATTTTCCAAAAAATTGTGACACAAAAGTTACAGCTTCAAAAAACTTGCTATGCCTCTTACTAAATACCGCAGACTGTCTACTTTCCAAAAAGGGGTCATTTGGGGGGGATTTGTATTGTCCTGACATTTGGGGGGAATTTTACCGTCCTGACATTTGGGGGGATTTGTACAGTCCTGACATTTGGGGGGATTTGTACCTTTCCTGACATTTGGGGGGATTTGTACTGTCCTGACATTTGGGGGGATTTGTACATTTGTACTGTCCTGACATTTGGAAGGGATTTGTACTGTCCTGACATTTGGGGGGATTTGTACCGTCCTGACATTGGGGGGGATTTGTATTGTCCTGACATGGGGGGGATTTGTACTGTCCTGACATTTGGGGAGGATTTGTACTGTCCTGACATTTGGAAGGGATTTGTACTGTCCTGACATTTGGGGGGATTTGTACCGTCCTGACATTGGGGGGGATTTGTATTGTCCTGACATTGGGGGGGATTTGTACATTTGGGGGGATTTTCACTGTCCTGACATTTGGGGAGGATTTGTACTGTCCTGACATTTGGGGGGATTTGTACCGTCCTGACATTTGGGGGGCATTTGTACTGTCCTGACATTTGGGGGTGATTTGTACTGTCCTGACATTTGGAAGGGATTTGTACTGTCCTGACATTTGGGGGGATTTGTACCGTCCTGACATTGGGGGGATTTGTATTGTCCTGACATTGGGGGGGGGATTGGGGGGGATTTGTTGTCCTGACATTGGGGGGGTCCTGACATTTGGAGGGGATTTGTACTGTCCTGACATTTGGGGGGATTTGTACTGTCCTGACATTTGGGGGGGATTTTCACTGTCCTGACATTGGGGGGGATTTGTACTGTCCTGACATTGGGGGGTGTAACAGCGTATACCCAGAGATGGACGCGGTTCAACCACTTTGGCTTCAACCTCCATCCTGACAAACATATTTCCCCCTCATTCCCCCCCCCCTTCCCTCTCTGTTAATTCACAAGGACATCTGGTTGTGGGTAACTGGCAGGCTAGAGCCAGCAGGGAGCCCAGATCTATAAAACACCTCTCTGAGCCGGGGCCTAGCTGTCCAAAGAACCTGTGCAATTTAACACCTCGTATAAGATAAGGCAAGATTTCCCCGGAGTTCAAAGAACATTCCCAGGAAACACGACCAGATAACCTTTGTTAAAATCCATTTTTCCCCGATGTCTCATATCTTGGAATATGAGAGACTTACATAAAAACCGGACATATGGTCATAAGGCGAATAGTTTGGTAGGTCACTCGCATTGTCTTGAATATATAGGAAAACAGAAAAGTAGATCTTGTGAACCGTTCAGTGTATAATTTCATAATTCATATCGAATCAATCCTCAGATGTGTCTGCCTAATAATCTACCCGCGGGTGGAATGTCACTTGTGAAGATGGAAAGTTATGGGTCAAAATATGAGTTATGGGAGATTTTGGCTCTAGTTGAGGTATCCCCCCATACCTACATGCCCTAAACGGGGTATTCGTCCTTGACTTCAGAGACACCCCCTGCTGGGGAACTACAAATTAGGCTGTCAGGCCTAAGAAGAGTAAGTTGAAGACGTCTCCCATTTTAACATCAGTACCACCTGGGGAGAACCGTGCACTTTCGCTCTGAAACTTGGATCTGCTAACCCAGGACTTTGGCAAGTACCTTAACCCTTTCACCTCTCTCTGATATCTCTTTGCTGTGCTGTTGGTCTCTGTATATTTATATATATATATCTTAGTTACATCTTTTTCTGTAAATATTTTTATTGCACCCTTTTGACCTTTTAGTAATAAATCTTTTCTTCTGAAAGTGTTGAACTGTTTCTATAGCTCTTTATTGCAATTTACGAATTCCTGCCTCCTAAAAGAACGCTACTGTGTTTGTTTAACCC